GAAAGATCTCAGTGAAATGACTTGTACAAAGTGACAAAACAAGCAGGGAAACACAGCCACCACTCAAAAGTGTGCACAGGAAAGTCTTCCTCCCACTCCTTTCTTTCTGCTTCTCCATAAGGAACATTAGTCTCCTTAATATTACAGATGCTAAAAAATTATACAATTTGTTCCAATTAATGAAATGAAACACATATTTATATCATTTTTTATATAAAAGAACTCATTAACATTAAATTCCTTGAATTGTAGTGCTAAAAAAGACAATTGCCTAATCTATTATTTCAGTTTTATTAAAATCAAATGAATAAAGGAATTTAGTTTTCCCTTAGCTTTCTAAAATCACTTTTATGTGGAATATCTTGAATTTCACACTAAAAACAAAAAAGCCTGAGAGAAATACTATAAACTTAAATTACAGTATTATGACAGTAAGTGGACCAGTCACAGCAGAGCAGAAAGGCCCTCCAAATAAGTTCGAGCATTGCTTTTAACAATACTAGGCACTAGCTGTTCCTTATGACAGAGCGGATCCGAAGGATGAGACAGAAAACCAAATCACTGAGCACCTCCTCCTCCAGCAAGAGCCTTCAGGTTTTCAGTATATTTTTTGGTTCCTGAAATTCACACAGCTCTCCTGATTAGCAAGCTACTGAACAGGGGCAAAGCAATGCCAGTGATCTCATTAAATCCTCCTTTACCCGAGTCATGACAGATCAGCACAATATCTAAATCATTTTAATTCTCCCTACTGAGACTCTGATAATAAAAAACTATGCTCATCTGCAAATTTCCTATACAGAAGTAGATACACTGTAATTGACCAGTTGACCTCTGAAAAATTATATTATTTCCACCTCTTACTTCTGATCCTCCCAATATCTATAACTCTGCAGACCTGTACTAGTATAAAATGTGTCAAACTGTATTTTAAAACTCTGAAAACTTCCAGCTTTCCTCGTGTGATCTCCAGTATATTTTTAAAATGAGTACATACATATAAGAAGAATTACTTGCACACTCTAAAATATTTGCATATACACAAGTATACAGGCACAGAGTCCACACAGCATCTCAAATAAACTTTTCTGGAAAATAATTTAGATTAGTAAGAATGTTTGCATCTGAGAAGAGCTAATCACTGAGCTCTCAAAGGACTTAAAGGAATTTTAATAACTGTTTCCAAGCAAATATAAATGGTGGTGGTGAAGAAGTCTTTTGTTTCTAGATAGCTGACTACTCAGGTTCATTATCCATTTCATATAATTTCACAAAGAAAGCTGTGCAACTTGTGTCCAATGGCACTTTGGAAAGCTGTAAGAGAGTGGAAAGGGCAGAATAACAGGACATCTTAAAAAGGAAAACAAAAAACTTTAGAAAATGTCAAAGCTGTGTCTTTACTGAATAGAAAAATTTATTTTGGTAAGGTCCGTATAGAATTAGAAAACTACCACTACATCCCTGTGTTCGTGATGTGCACAACTCATTCAAATGTTTTCTCTGGCAAGCATTGATCTCTTGTAAACTCATAGGAAAAGAGGGGACAATATATTTTTTGAAGACAGTCTCAAAATCTGCTCAGAAGATAGTAGAGGCTATCAACATAATTCTCAAATAAGAAATAGTTACTGTCAGATGGTAGGCAATATTTTTGCTAAGCTAAAATGTATCGTTGGGACAGTGGACAGTGTTGCCTGAGCAAGGCAAATGACTAATTCAGCAATTATTTATGCAATACTATTTAACTTACTAAATAATAATGACATTTATTGAGATTCTAATAGGAAATTAAATAAAGGCAATTAAGACTTTATAGAATGACAGGGGAAAGGCCCCAGCTGAGGATATAATGTTAGGACTCTGATAAGAAAAAGTCTTAGTAATTTACACATATATTTGCTTAAAATTTGGGTCTGAATGTATTTTTTTTAAAATTGCTCCACAAAAAACATTGAACTGAAAATGAAGGATTTAATCCCAAAGAAGTTTACTTTTATGAAATTGATCTCACTAGTAAAAAATGCAGTTTAGTGCACCACTCTTTGGTCCAAATGGAACCAAACTAATCAATGTGCTGCAAAGAATTCAGCATAGCTTCTCTAAATGTAGTGCAAAGAAGAGCATACAGTACACAGGAGATGAAGAAAAAAATAAGTGGGGGAATTTCTCCCACTATGTAGAAGAGGAAAGAAAGAATTGAAAACAGCTATAATTAATAATTCCTTGATTTACCAGCATTTGATAGAAACAAACAAACAAAAATATTTCCAGTTTAACTTTTACCAGTAACCACTCAAAACATAACTTTATAACAGATACACCTATTTAGTCAGAAGTGGAGGCTGTAAAAGCATTAAGAAAAAGCAATAGATGTCCTTTTTATCTCTGCCTTTTCCTAGAGACTTGCAATAGTTACAGTAGGCAACCTGATATCTAATCTGCCAACAGGAAATACGTACTTAATAATTTGATGTACTACTCATGATTTCCTGTGCATTTGAATATTTTCAATAATTTAGGAATTAAAGTCTCCTACATTCCTTAATAATTATACATAATATATAATAAGAAGTTCTTATTTTCTCTTAAGGGTATATGTGGAACTGATTATAGGTTAACTGGAAACTGGCATTCTCTGGTCACATTCCACGTCAACCTGTTGAATATTTTCTCCTGAAGATCAACCCAGGGCAAACACTGAACCTTCAGTAGCTGAAAAACTTCTCAATATAGACTTTGAATGCATCAATATTACACACTATTTTCCATGACAAATGAGGGCTATTTATACATATCACTCTAGACCACAGTAATGCTCATCTTCCCGTTATCACTTTAAGCTGTACTTTCCAAATTGAGATTATCATTTTCCTTCTAGATTGTTTTTTTTTTTTCTAATTTGTTGGTCTTTGGTTTTGTGTTGGTTACTTTCGTTGCTTTTTTTACTTTCGTTTTTGCTCCAGTGTTTCCTTACATAAAGAAAGTTCAGTCATGACCCAAAAATGATCCACAGCCATCCACATTCTGAAATCAATTAGCTATTTCATCACTGAATTTCAAGACCTATCACTAACAATTATTTATTACATTGCACAAATGAACATTTGCTAGAATTTCAAAGTGCAGGTCAGAGCCCTAAAATATGACAAGTTCAAAAATGTTTCCTTATGCACTTGACTTTCAGAACAAATCTGAGTCTTTAGTAGGCTTGTGATTAATAGGAAGCCAGGAAAAAAACAGCTGAGGAGGAATAAAATAAAATAAAAATAAAATAAGTAAACCAGAAGCCTTAGATCTGATCAGAACTAACTTAGAACGTGATTAAAGCACTACTGAAACATGAGTTAATAAAAGCAATAGGACCAATGCACTTTGAGATGCACACTGGCTGAAACTGAGACCAGAGTGGAAGGAAGGGAATTGACTGAGCTCAAAAGCAACACTCCTGTCTTTCCCTTTGGGAAAAAAAAATAATTTGAAAGATTAGAACAGAATGAGATGGAGAAGGAGGAATGCAATAGAGAAAGATATTTTTATCATAAGACTGACAAGTATGCCTCCTTCACTTCCACTAAGAATCAAGACTAACAAAAAAAAAATGTATTCTTTGTAAGTTAGTGTTAAAATGGTGCATAAAGATAGCAGGTGAATTATTAATAAAGGTCCTTAACAACATGAAAGTGGATTTTCTTGTCTTTTCAGAAAGCCCTCAAGAGACAACACAGTCTCCTGCAGTGTTGCCTGGAATGGCAGAGTGACTTGTGAACTCAGGAAACATGTCCAACTAGACCAGGTACATAATAGCTGTGAAAAAAAGCAATCAAAAGAATGGAGAAAAAGAGAAAAGCCAGAGGGATATATACAGAAATGCAACTCATGTGCAGATCAGCAGATAAAGAGAAGACTCACGGCACAGGCAATTAACAGCGAGAACTATCAAAACCAAAGAATTTTCTTTAGGTAAGTAAATAATTTTACTTTTTTTTTAAATTTTTCATTTGAAATGAAAAAAGACCTATGTTAGCATCCATTATTTTGATTAAAGTCAAGCTATATAGAATTAGCAGTCAGTCACTACAAACTCCTAAAGGCAGAAACACTTTCAGTTTATTTTTCTTTGAAAAATATGAGAGATTTGATTTATACTGGTCAGGTGAAGTTGAGCATGCTAAAATTTTTGCTAATGAAACCACTGAATTGAAGCTTATTTCCAGGTTGAATCTTTAAATAAAAATATTGGAAATAGAGAATACACAGGGGACAAGAATTGCAAATAACTCAGCCAAGCTGCCAAAATCAACTAAGAGAAGATGTGAAGTGGAGCTGTGGAAGCTGTACAAGACCAGACACAAGGAGCATGCATAGCTTGTCAGCAGAGTTAGAGAAGTACAGTTGCATCATTTAAACCAGGTCTTGGGCTCTCATTAGGGCTCCCTTGTCATATCTTACATAGTCTTGAGCAAAAGATTTCATTATGTTATAAATATCATCCTCTGTTAATGTTGCCTCATACACACAGACTGAAGTCTTTATGCTCTTGGTTTCATTACATATGATAACAATCATGAGAGAATAACATTCATTAAAATGCTCTGAATCAGAATTAACAATTTTGAACACAAGACATATTCTATGTAATGTGAGACATGCAGCACCTAGAACACAGTATGTGGAAAATATTGAGGACAGGGACCTGCTGAGTTTAGGCTAGGAGAAAAGCAGAACCAATGACAAAGGATCCACAGAAGGAATTAAAAAACAAAACAAAACAAAACAAAAAAAAAAAAAAAAAACCAAAAAAAAAAACCCCACACCTTAGCACTAACATCTTGTGTTCTTGAAAGGTTAGTTTTCCAGCTCAGGGAATTTCAAGCGCATGCTTAACCTCCCCTTTGAGAAAGAAAAATACAAGCCAGCACATGATCCTTGAAAAATTTCCTATGCCTGCTTGAAGTGGTTGCCATAATGCAAATCAATAATAATCTTCTTCTGTGCCTTTCGTTTCCAGGCTCCTTTTATTCTCCTTAAAACAAATAGTGAATTTGATTATTTTAGCAAATTACAACAGCAATTTTTATGCAATTCTCTTCCATCTTCAGTGAAGCATATCTTGTCCAAAATTAACTCAGCCTGATGCACAATAGAACATTAAAAAATTATGTATCTTTTTTTCCTTTAGCAAGGCTGCTGCCACCAATAGCTGACTTGAATCTGCCAATTGTAATTACAACTCTAGCATTTTATTGTCAAATACATTTCCCAGATAAACGGTTCTTGCCTTTTCAATGATTTTGACTGATGGGCTGAGCATGGAGTTATCTTTTTTAAAAGCTAGACTCTATCGGGTAATGCAAATTCTCTTGCTATACAAAACCTTTTTACAAATGTAATTTTTATTTTTAGTGCTTGTCTCTTATCTGTACGGGTTATTTTACATGAATCTGCACTGCTTTGCAGCAAATCAGATTCAAGTGTATCATTTGTGAGCTACATACAAAGCTCTGAGAGCATTAATCTGTTCTTTTCAGCGCACTAGGTCTCAAGAAGCTCCCACAATCCAGCATTAACAAGCTATTTATTTCATTTACCATCTTAATGGCTGAAGAAAAAAAAAAATGGAAACGATGATTGCTTGTTTGTTAATGAAAGGGTGCTGTGGTTAACCACCGGAAAGACTATTAAGCATCATAAAATTGCCCTTGAAATTTGACACTTTAATATCTCATCTCATGTACTATGCAAAAGAAATAGAAAGATCAATAAAGGTTTCACCTAACTTCCAATTACAAAATTTCATGGATTTGAGGAAGAAAATAAAAATAAATTAGGAAGGATAAAAATAGAAGCATTAAAGAAGATTGGATTATTGAATAGTGAGAGGTGACATGGATAGAGTTTTCACACACTCATGGTGCTAAGTTAGCTGCCATATAGAAATGTGAATCTATACATTTTGATACATATATTGCATATATTTTTTGTATATATTGCACATATTTGTCTACCTAACAGTGGCCTTGCAGGTCCTTGCTATATTATAAGAAAATAAAAGAGAAAATAAGAGTGTGCATGCGAGACAGCAGGAGAGAAATATAAAGAAATTTTTAAGGTTATTTTAACACTGTAGAGGTTTTCCTCACTCTCAGTACTGGCAAAAGTTGTTATGAGAAGCCCATGACCTTGAGCAGAGTGGAATTCTCATCTAGGCCTCAGCACGCTCTGTGCTGTGTGCTGCTTGGCAGCGATGACATTTGATCCATCAGGAAGCTTTATGTGTTGGGACAGATCACTGGTAAACTCTGTAAGTTGCTATATTTTCAGGAAAAATAAGCTCTGTGTGGATCAAGGAGTGCAATGAGAACCTGGCACCATCTCTGTCCTTCATGTCACCCACCTCACTCCTGGTATAGAGCAACCTCCAAGGTTAAAAAATGCTTCCTCAGAATGTCACTGAAAGTAGATGACCTTCTTCAAACCTGATTTCATTTTATCCCAATTTTATCTCTTCAGAACTAAGATATTTCTAGACCTGCAGAGAAAAGAAATGTTAATTATAAAAATAATTACAGTTGTAAGAATGCTTGTATTTGTTCAGTAGTTGGCCAGAAATTTTGAATACTCAAATTCTAGACTTAAATGCTAGACATGTAAGATCCATTTCAAGACACCCAGCCGCTTTCATGGATTTAGAAATTTATACACTGAAAGGAAACAACAGTTATATTGAAAGTATATTAACAGTTCCTCAGTAAACACTTAAGTATCCCTGTATGGATTACAGATCCTAAGAAGGTCTTGTCACCCATATTTATGTGTTGATTACATTAAAATAGAAAGTTTCCAAAATCTACGGGCATTGCTTCCTGTTCCTCTAAGCTTGTTATGCTCACTGATTTTTTAAGGAGGCTGAGATTTTAAACACTGCAAAAACCCGTTTATGCCAATAGATAATACAATTTACATATGAAACACCAATATAAATTAAAATATACGTCGATTTGGGGAGTTTATGAAGTTTATATACTCAACGACGTTATTGAAAGAGTTTATGTTCTCTGTAAGCACTTCATTTTATGGCTCACGATTTTTACAGTGCACTGAAAAAAATGGGAACACTTAAATCTCACAAACTTAATGAGTGATACGTAAGAGATGAATATAACAGTAGCAATTCTTCCGGCCATATCTGAATTGTCATCCTGACCTCACTACTTCCTGCCTCCCTACCTGTCTGAGGTATTTATCAATGAAGTATACAAAAAACGTATTACAAATTCTTACCGCTTTGCAAAGCTCAGGTATATGACTAAGTAACACTCAAATAGCTGGAAAAGAATTGATGAGTTCTGCTATGGCAGATGCTAGAAAAGTAAAAAGCAATTTGAAAAGAGAATGAAAAGCAATTTGGGAATTTTTAATGTTTATTACAATTTCAAATCCAGAAACCACTGTAAACAAATATCTATTCTGATTTTCAAAACACTTGCACCATATGCATCAACATTTTTAACTTTTTCCTTCACATCTCTGATGGGGTCTACATCAATTTTTATAACAGAATAAACAAAATAACTATTACTTGTTTGCAAGACAATATGCAGTAGTCAAGTTTTTGTTCAGCTACAGTAAAACACAGAACCTGATTTTTTTCTTTAAAAAACAAAAAAGAGATATACTGAGAGTGTATTAAGCACACCTACAACAGCGGATAGCAAGAGAATGACAACAGAAAGTAAAAATATACTCAAAGTATTTGAGTAGAAAACTATTTGAAGTAAAAATTTAACTAATAAACACATTTCTGGTTTTCAGTTAAAAAAAAATATAAAAACAAAGTTAATATTTGACAATTTATGAAAACTCTATTTTCTTTGCCATTCCTGTGCATAATTTCTTTTAAAAAATGGGATCAAAGTCCTAAAGCAAAAAGATTTAAAAAAATAAAAATAATTTGAACTCCATCATCATAATACTCAAGGTATTTTAATTGTCTAATGATTTTTTATTGGATGCTACCTATCAATCAAAGCATTTCTTAAAGGATGGAAGCAATGAAACACACTTCTTTCATTCTTCTTTTTAACATGCAGCATACAAACACAAAGCAAAATGAGATTGAGGTTTTGTTTTTGTTGGTTTTTTTTTTTATTATCTTTGGCTGTTTTTTCTTTGCTTTTTGCTTTCCTTTTAAAAATCCCGCTCTCCAGACCTTTCTTTTTTATCACTAATTTACCAGAAGAAGAGATCAGTCATGGTCTGTAAACTAAAGGAAGGTGCTGTATATACATACATCCATTTCTGCATGTATATTTATAAATACAGTATATATTTTCATTCTGTATCTTTTCCTATACTCTCTCCCAGCAGCTATTCACCTAGATAGGTGAATGGGCTAGTTGACCGTCTGTTCAAGCCAACACAACCTTTTTTTTATTCCTACAAATGTTTAATTTTTAGACAATTTTTTCTACTTTGAAAATTTAAAAGCAAACATCTGCAACACTGTTAAAGAGAATTTTTTTTTTTTCTTAATAATTTATTAATCAGGAGAAGTTATGCCATCCTGAAGAAAAATTAGATGGAATACAAACTGTGAATTAAATCAGTTTTGACCCTTTCATAGCAGTTTTATTATTCAATAAATCTATGTTTACTCCTATGAGCAGGCTTTATATTTCTTTGAATGAGCTTTTATATAATTCACAAATTACATCTTGCACAGAAGGCTTTAAAGAAGGATCAATATCAGGGGACTCAGCATCTTCTTCCTACTAGATATTTTCTGTGTAACTACTGTTAGAGTAGGGACTGAGTAAAGAAGGGACTAGTAGCCACGGAAACCCTCTCTCCCATAAAACTTTGAAATTTAATCAGGATGTAACATAGCCATTTACTAATCATGTAAAAACTTATGAAAAATATCGCATAGACTCTTTCTTACAAAAAAAAAAAAAACAAAAACAAAACAAAACAAAAAAAAAACACAACAAAAACCTACTATAGATGAGATTGCACTTATATTTGCTGTATTCGTGGTCACTGAAAATGAGATATTTGCTTCACTGTGATTTCTGCTATTAGATTTGTCCAGGGGTTAATAAATAGCATTTCTGTATGCTAGAAAACTCTCTAAATTTATTGAGGACAACATATGTGAAGTTGTTGCTCTATGTGGAAAAGAAAGTTTGATATGGGAAAAAATAGTACAGCAGATTCAGAACTTCCATTACCATCATCGCCTCTGAAAGGGGCGCAGTACAGAGTGAATGATCTCATTGCTGAGTCAGCTTAGATTTTCCACATTGATGCAGTAACTCAACTAAAAGCAAAAAAAAAAAAAAAAAAAAAAAAATTTTTTTGCTTTTCTCCTTTCATTACTTGTTACCAGCTTAGATTAATATCAGTCAGCATTAGACTTGTTTTTGCTTCTGGTCATACTACAGAAAAAGGAAGGTTTTTTTTTTTTTCCATTTGTTTGGGTTTTTTTTGTTTTGTTTTGTTTTTTTACTTTAAGGGTAGTGAATATCCTGAATATTCTGGAGTTATTCGAGGTCAGGCTGGACCAAGCAACCTGATCTCACTGTAAGTATCCCTGTTCATTGCAGAAGAGCTGGAGTGGATGGTCATTAATAATCCCTTCCAAATGATTCCATGATTCTATGATAAAAAGTTTAGGGTTTACTTAATCGGTATTTAAAAGATAGAGCTAACATTTGCTTCTTATCCAAATCAAATCCAGAATACAACGCATGACAGAAGGACTGTTGCATGATATTCAGAAATATTACTTTTTTTTTTTTTTTTTTTACAAGCCTTTATGATTTATTTTAGCAATTGTACATCTTGACTGTAAAGCATCACTTGGATAAATTCATTTGGTTATTACTGGTCTCAAATCCTGTGGTCAGAAAAGAATCAGAAAATCGTATTACTTGTTGAAATGGTAATTGTTAATAATCTACCTTACTCTTCATTATTAACTAAAAAGTAATTGTAACTTAAGACAGACTCTACATTAACAGAAGTGTCCTGTACGTAATTTCATTTCTATGTAACAAGGTCAGTATAACCTTCTCCATTTAGTTTCCTTGTTGTCAACAGTATAATTTGCTTACATCAAGCTAACTTCTTTGGCCTATGTTTTCCCAACTTACATATTTCAACAGTTGAAGCACTTGAATATAATCAGCCCTCTTTCATGCTGAGCTTCAATGGATCCTACTACTTTGAAGAAGTCTTCCAAAATAAAGAAATCTCTCACTAACTTACATAGGTGCAAAAGCTACAGATTGGTGCATTTCAAACATGTAAGACTTTGCAAAAGGAGATTTAATATTTAGATAAAATAAAAACATCAGCATAGCTAATAATGTTCAACTTCATTTATTGCGGTTGTCCTGGGGATTTTAAGAAATTCCACAATCTTCTGTAAGGTAAGTTCTTGGAGCTAAACACTGAGGGAAAAGAAATTATGAAAAAGAATCAAGATGACACTATTGACAACAAATAATCTTTTCCTATGGTATTTCTTGATGTGCCAGCTACAGCATTTCTGACTGCTTGGTTTATTTTTACTTATTTCCAGATTGAACAAATTTAATTTCAGTTTTCAATTTATCTCATAGCATTTTGATGTCCAATAAAGGTGTTCAGTTGAAAACATTATCTGGATTTCAAAGAGAAATCGCAACTTAGAGCTGTTTCAGCTCTAGCTGTTCCTGAGCAACTACAATAACAATTTGATTTGGACAGTTAAAATATTAATGTCACGTAGGAGACATATTTGCTTGTAGATCTCTGATCCATCAACATAAGTTAAAGATGACAGACAAGGTTTTGTAGAACAATGCAATGGCAACATGATTGTCAATTAAGAATCTGAAGAGAAAACAAAAAAAAATATGTATCAGTGAAAGTTATTTTAGCAGAAGTAATTTTAGATGAAAATTTTTGAGATTTGAACTAGTTCTTTGTTAGCTCTGTAAGTGTTCAAATTAAATAAGGTAAATTTAATCTCTTACAAAATGTTTAAAGGAGAAGAATTTATAAAGAATTTTATTATTACTACCCATATACAAATCTTCACTAGACATATTACAACGTGAAGAAAATTATGTTCAAATGCTGAACCCCACTGCCTTAAAGTCAGTTTAGTATATGATCCAATATCCTTAAGTAATTATTTACACCATTACCTTCATTTGCTTAAGTGCAAGTGAAAAATATGTATATTCTAAATTTAAGAATTCTACATATAATATCTCTCTCAACTAGTCATTGTATTTTGAATTTCAAGAAAGTTTGGACAATGAAATTTAACATGCCTACTTCATCAAGTGGAAAAGTTCTTTTTATGTCATGTTCTCTTACGCCAGTACTGCTGTACCTGGGATTATAGCAATATAGAGAAATTGTGGAGGAAAAAAAAAAAAACATTATTGCAAACAGCATGCAGAATTTTTGCAGTACTTAAAAGAAATTTCATCTAGATGTAGAGCTTAAAAATTCAAAACCTTTTCTAACTTCCAGTGCATCTCTACTTGTACATTTCTTGCACTTGCTGAGAAAAATGCAAGGGACACTTTTTCTCCAAAAGGAAATATTTTTATATCAGAACAAACAAAAACAAATCCACAACTGCACAAAATAAATGGCTTCTATAGTTGTTCATCGTCACATGTGTTTCCATCAGTTATGTGCAGAACCAACTTTAGACTGCCTGATAATCAAAGAAAAAGTATTTCAAAATGATTCAATAGCTGGTCAGTTCAATAAAGGAGTAATAAAATTTTAAATACTTATTCCAACATCTTGTACTTTACTCTCTCCATCACTCCAATTTCTTAACCAAACATTTGTGAAAAATCAGTGTTTGAAGTCTTCTGATAATTAGACAGATTTTCCATCCAGTTACTGCAGTTACTTTCATTTAAGATGAAAGTAAATGATAGCTCATACATCACATTCACAGCATTCTGCCTCTCTGCCTAATATATGTAAGTCACAGAGGATGCTGTTTTGAGACTAGTTCAGCTGAAGCCATCTTTGCACATCTCAGTCATGGATATTAGCTACTTGGCCAATGTTCCTCTTAGGCTATAGTTAGGTGAAATGAATGAATTCTGTCTTGTTCAGATTAGTTATTTAAGTTAAATGCTAGATGGAAAAGCTACAGATAAGGGCAACACACATTCCACTTTACTATACACAGAACAAACATCTTTCCTATTGCTGTCTTTGGTGCTTCAGGCAAGATTCACCACATTCCACATTAAACAAAACAATAGATTGCAGTTCAAGTCCTTCTGATTTCCTGTTACTAATTAGGGTTTTAAACAACCTTTTAGAAGCATAAATGGATCAAATTTATAACAGAATGTCTTGAAGGCACAAATAGATTTTATTTCTTTCCAATTGATAATCTCTCTCTGTCCTACATATCCCATAGAATAATTCACTTCATTCTGATGACTACTACATCTCAAAGGTCTGGCACTCTTTAGGGTGCCACCAAGAGATTTTTTTTTACTGTACCACTAAGTTTTCTGCAGTTTTTTGGCTCATAAATTTTCATCTCCCAATCATGCATTTCCCCACCCACTATGTATTGTGGAAATCTTTAATTCAGCAGTGTCTAAATACAAATGAATATATATATATATATATATATATATATATAAAGAAAAATGCAAAGGCCTTAGAGAACAGCACTTGTATTTTGCCCTAGGAAATACTACATTTTCTTTTTTATCTCTCTTTTCTCACAGCATCTAAAGCTAATTTGAATTATGTGACTTGGTTTGCAGGCATGTTAGTCCAACAACCTGTTGGAAAATGACAGACTTTAATTTCATCAGATGCTGAAACAGGTGAACTTAAGTCCCCTATATCTCTATTCTATTGGTAATTTATTAGAAAATTATTTTCTGTGGGAAAGCCACAGACATATTAGAAAGCAACTCTGATGGGCACTTAAGCATTCAAAGGAAGCTCAGAATATTGTAGTACATCATTACTCATTTAGCTGTATTTTAAAAGTACAACTAGATAGATACTCACCCACTAGTAAATGCAGGAATTTGTCCCTATAGATTTAAAATATAGGAATGAATAATTGAGGCCCACTTTCTGATCCAAACAGAAGACTGAAGCCTGAAGAGAAGGCTCCAGGGAGACCTGATAGTAGCCTTTCACTATCTGAAGGGTGGCTGTAAGAAAGGACAGACTCATTAGCAGTGTATGTTGTGATAGGACATGAAGAAATATTTCAAACTAAAAGAGGGAAGAATTAGATTGGATATAAGGAAGAAGTTTTGTTTTTTTTTTTTACAATAAGGGTGATGAGGCACTGGAACAAGTTGCCTAGAGAAATGCTGGCTGCCCTGTCTCTGGACACACTTCATGTCAGGCTGGATGGGGCTCTGAGCAGCCTGATCTAGCTGTAGGTGCTCCTGTTCCTTGCAGGGATGAGTTGGACAAGATAAACTTTAAGGGTCCCTCTCAACTCAAATGATTCTTTGATCACAGGAGTTGAAGTTTAGTATGGCAGAGGTCAGAAATGAAAGAGTTTAGTTATGTCCAATTATCATAGATCCTTAATTATAGGCCACCATGTAAAACATATCTAATCTTGTCTGTGATCAGGCATAGTATCAAATCTAGAAAGACACCACTCCAGAATACTCTGGTTTTTGTGGGTTTTTTTGTTTTGTTTTGCTTCCCCCCTCCCCCCCCCCCCCCGTATCTCTCCCTCTCTGCTATGAGAAGTGTCACATTTTCAACTGCTCAAAATGCCCTAAATTCACCTTAGAAAAGCACCATCTGGCTATTACTTGCTACAAATTACCAGCTGTGAAATATTACTATATTAAGAATGTTAGCCAAAGCAACAGCTGATCTTTCCTGCAACAGAAAGCCAGTGCAACATTTTCATCTGGATTTCACATCACAAACAAAAACTATGCTATGCTAATTCTGCCTTTTCTCAGGAAGATATATATTCTCCAATACTCTAAGGATGAAACATATTTGCAGAGAACTATCAAAATATTTGCAAAAATGATTTTTTTTTTTTTTTTTTACTATTTTAAAAATCAGGTCTAAAAGAAGGTAAGTCCTTCGCCATTTCTTTGCACTGGCTACATTTCTCTTTAAATGGCACAACACCAGTTATTTTCTGGGGAAGTTTTAACTCTCATGTTTTCTCATCATCACTGAAATTTATGAAGAGCTCTATCTTCACTACAGATTTGAAGACAGATAGTGCACTGTGATTTAATGTTCCCTCTCAAGAGTCCATCCACTGCATCTTTTGTTTTAAATTTCCAGAGAAGTTTATGGTACTATCCTTCAAGAACTACAAATGCTATAAAGCAGTTAAACTAATATTCACAGAGAGGGGAAAATAGTTCTTTCGGAGAAAAGTTTTAAAGCCAATACATTCCAGGTATATTTTTGCATGAGGAACTGTTTGGTTGTATTTTTTTTCTGCATTCCTCTTCTGGAGTGTTTCTCCCACGCATAGAGAGAAATTCTGGGGAAAAGCATTGAACAAACTACTGCGATTTCCTGTAGCATGAAGAGCTAATGTATCTTTGTGTACACATATATATATAATATATATATTTCCCTTTCAATCTATCTAATAGAAGATTAAATCTTTCCTCACAGGCTTTCATCCAGTGTAATCATACATAAATACACTAATATTAACATGATGAAAATACAAGGCAAAAAAAAAGGATAGCATGCAACAGCTTAGCAGAATAGCTGACAAAATTCTTGAAGAATTGTTACAGTGCAGAGGACATGAAAAGTTGCTTAAAAATTGACAAAACTTTTATCAGGCTGCCTAACAAGAATAATTCTCACATGTATTGTTCTTCACAGGTATTTTATGAAAAATATTTGAAAAACCATGAAGTTAGATTAATGAAGCTTGAACTATGAAAAAACATGCTCGACTGCACATTTCCCTCTCTATTCCATAAGTGTTAATTAACAATGAATATTAATGAAATCACAAAGATTTTTAATCCAGAGAAGCTATGTACTATGAGGGCTCAGTACAAAACTGAGTAGCTACTCATTAAGTCAAATGCAATAACTGGAAAATATGCATGCTTTTTGCCCAAGGAAGTGTACAAGTGATCTTTTATTCAGGCTTAAATTAGTACGTTTGGAATGGACTAGTAACACTTGGCTAATCATTATGGTTCAAATAACAAATGGGAACTCATTTTACGCTGTGATAACACAACTGTTGGGGTGAGCCCACACTTCATTCTGGCTTTTCTAAACCTGAAAATGTCATACTACCTGCATGGCTTTTCAGTTCAGAAGTAATGACCATGTTCTCCTGGCTCATCAACCAATATCTGAAGGAAGAGCACTGCAAAGTTTGGACTTCTGCCACTCCATAAGGAGACTGCCGTCAGTCTTCAGTTACTGGTTAGCACCACACATTTCCCAAATGTAATCAAAAAGACACCAAGCAAGGATACATCCTAGTACATATGTAGCTCAGCTTCTCTCTGCAAAATTGAGATAATTTTCAGGGAGATTATAAAGGCCTGGGTGCTTTCTCCTATTCACTCCCTTCCCTCTTACCATTCTAATATTGAACACCGCTCTTGGAGTAGCAGACAGTACACTGAACTTAACATTTCACAGAACAGTCATTCCAAGGTTTCCTCATAATTTGTATATGGTTTGGATTATTCTACCCTGGATTAACTTTTATCTACATGGAAGATCACCTATCATTTTATTTTCTCCTTTTTTTTTTTTTTTTTTTTTTTTCCCCTCCTACTTAGTAACCTCTGAAGTAAATCAAAGGTGTACTATCTTGTAGGCTGGAGGATTAAATGTTCATTCTTTTCACTAGGCCATTTCGTAAATTTAATAAAACTATAATCAAACTGCTGCACACATACCAGCTCCCCCAATTCCTATGCTGCAAAATTACTACTAAGCCCTGTTCTTTTTATCAGCTTTCTGTAGAGGATGTACATTCTCCTAAAGCCTTGGTAAGTTGCTTCTTATTGTTATTATAATTACATCATATCCACTGAATCACCCTTATCCACCTTCTTCCTATCACATTCACATAGGTGTTACATAGCCAATTGGTGAGGCAGATCCTCCCAACACAGAAGTCACACTGACTCACTCACAGGGAGCATTTATCCATGTGCTCATATTTGTTATTACAGATTCTACCATCTTGCCATTGATACTCCAGCCTCATTGCTCTGCAGCTGACAGGATGCCCTCCAGAGACCTGTCACAAATAGGATTGCAGTGGCCATATTCCAGCCCTCCATAAAGCAGCTATTTTTTAATGTTGGGCTGCGCACCAAAGTCTGTAATTGCACATCTGAATTCCTTCAGTCTTCCACTGAGTACTTTCCTAGCTTTACTTGATGCAACCTGTCTATCAGATCTAATATATACTCTTATATTTGCTTCAAATTGAGCTAGCTTCTCTGCTGTGCCTGCTAAACAGAATGGCTCCATGGGAATCTTCTCAATGCATTCAGCAAAGACCAGTGTAGAGTATTCACATCACTTCATAGCTGCCCCTCTGACTTGTCATCATACAATGCCACCAACTACTTACTTGGGTCCCTGATTTTGTATTTAAACAACTTCCTTATAAAAGCTCCAGCATAACACCTGCCACACTTGAGCTTTCCAATACTTCTCACTCGGAGAAGATCGCATTCCCCAGTATCATCAATAAACTGCATTTTTAGCAGCTGGAATATCTCCATGGCAGGATTTTTATTTGATTATTTATTGCCTGTTTCTTCTGGGGAGACAGAGATGTTACAGTTTCTCCTTTTAATACAGTTTCAATTCTGGAAATTGAATATTCAGTCAATATTGCCTGCTGTTTCCTGCTACAAAATTACTCCCAATTGCTCTATAGAAACTACTACAGAACAGCTCTTGCATCATACCTCTTGAACTGGGATCGAGCTGCACTTGATCCAAAACAGAAGAGCATACTTCCAAAAGCAGTTGGTCTCTGAAGCAGTCATCTATTACATCTAAAATAAAATCTATTTGTTTGTGCTTTGTGAAGTTTCCCACTATTACTATCCATCTTATAATTGTAGTTTTTCTAATTTAATTTAACACATTATTAATTATCTTCTCTAATTATAGTGTGAACAGCACAGTCTTATTGTAAAGAATACAATCTTCTTAAAATCTGGGACATCTACCCAGATGTCCTCTTACAATTTACATAATATTGTTTACAGTGACACTCCTTTCACCTTCTCAGCATGTAAATTACTTTGATTCCTATAAAATTGCTATCCTAGCAACACCACGTCCCATTCAATTTCCTCCTGAAATGCCTATGTTTTAGTTGCCACTTCATTACATATGTTCTGATTCTTCTATATTACTTTTTCCAAGTTCTAAGCTGGTACGTTCCTTAATTCTGCATTAAGAAGTATTATAGGTGAATTGATTTGCTCCTTAATTGTGTGTGTTTATTTCTACCAGGACTTTCAAGAGTGCCTATCATCTATCAACAGTTTTCTAGTTTATATGTTCCTCTCTAATCATTTAAATTTCCAGTGTAATCAGCCTGACTCCATTATGAATAAACATAAAACCACAACTCCTATCCAGATTCCACTTCTCAAGAATGTTTCCTCTGTTCCTAGTGTGACTACATTTCCTCATAACATATGAGGCATAAAATCTCTTCTTGGAACATGGGATACAAATATGGATGCTCCTGTGGAGGTCCTGAGCCCTAGTTTATGCCTAGCAGCCAAATTAAGACTCGTTAACTCATTTCTTATGCTTGTGTGATATGTTACCAGTACCAACACAGAACATAATTACTACCTACCATCCAATGCTCCCACAGTGATGTCTTTTCATGTCCATTATCTTGTCTTCATGTCTAGTAAACAATTATTTTGATATAGTTATTATAATAGATAATTAACAAGTGAGTTAACAATATAGAAGAGTATAAAGAAAGAAAGAAAGAAAGAAAGAAAATAAGATTAAAGAAAGTCATCAAATGTGCTTCTTTCTGGATCACTCCAAGGTTCCAGGGCTAAAAGTTGAAGACATTTTTCTCTTCATGTTTTAGAAGATTAGCTTTACAGACTTCAATAGACTTTAGCTGGTAATCCAGATACAAGAATTTTTGCATAGACTTAAATAGAAACCTGCACTGTATTTTGAATACTTGTGAAGAAATTGCTGACTACAATACCCATAGTATCCTGCACATCAAGACATTTACCCCAATCTTCCTTATTTAGAGATCCTGGAGAAAACTAGCAGGTCACCTCAAAAGTCCTGGTTTACATATATGCATAAACATGTATCCTTACCAGCTTAAGTATATAATCACATAGCAATCTATTTGAAGCAGATCTAGCTATGTCAGTAATCAGATCACACAGAAATCACTCTATTAACACGTTCATCCCAGGCCTGATTCAGTACTTCAGCTTGTGTACATACTTACCTGCAGCTCTAGTGAGCAAATTATCAAGCAGCCAAAACCAGTACCTCAGCTGGAGATGGCAACTAACACCATAGCAGCAATAAGAAATATCTTTAGTCATCCATCAGTTATAGCTGACTGGATGAACATTTGTCTAGTACTTCAGTGTAGCAATGATTTTAATGGAAATGGACTAGCTGCAAATTATAGCAGGGAGACCATTCAAGAAGCTGTTATAGCTCAGGAAAAATTTAAAACAAAGACCTCCCCTTGAGGAGGACTGAAGAATTGAATTTTCCTCAGTTTTTAGAGTCTTCAGAAGAATGAAACTCTACACAATTAGGCTTACTAGCTAAAGAGTACATCTACATAGTGACTTGATCATACAGGCATGCCTACAGAAAACCCAATAAAGGAAGTCAGGCCCTGCAGCTTGCTTGCAATGGGAAGAAAGATAGATTTCTAGCCTCTAGACCTCCACAGATTGAGTTACCTTTTTATTTCCAAAATTTAGCTTTAAGTTGAATACTTCAGTACCCTAAAAGAGAGATTAACAAGTCTGGGGCAGATACGATGGAGTCTCTATTGTAACTCTCCATAATTTGTGAGAGAGTTGACTGAAATAGAAATACAGAAGGAAGCGAAAAGGGAAATGATTAATATTTGAGATTTGAAAACCAACTGATCAGTCTAAAACAAATTGAATTTCTACTCTGTTATTCTATTGTCCATTATTTCATAGCTTTGGTAACTTAAGAAAGAAAAATAAATCCATACACGTATTTCATTAAAATTATTTGAAGTAACTTTGTTATAATTGTACTGTACCGAAAGTCTGGCTTCAGTAGCAGACAACATTTAGCAGGACAACATTTTGACATGCATGTATTATCATTCATAAAATTGTTGCAGAAAATAGATTTAAAAAGTACTTTTAGAATGGAATATATTAAAAAAAGTACCAACCACTTTATATATGTCAGTGCTTACAAAAGAATTTGAAGCCTAATTAGTGTTAGTGAATCAATAAGAACATATGGTAAATGTAAAACTAATACTTGAAATGGACAAAGATTACATAGACTCTTACAAATACCCCCTCTATTATTGTTCTGAAATTTTGGATGATAGTTTCTACATGTTTAATGGTCTATACCTGTTGTGACCAGCCATTGCTAGGATAAATATAGCAAGATAATTTTGAATACCTGGAACACTTCACATCTTCAAGAAAGAATCAAAATGAACAAAACAGGATTGATTACATGCTCCCTTTTCTCTTTTACTAACAAATGTAAATGTAACGGAATACTAGTAGGAAGATTCAACCTCTACTGCCATTCCATCAATATCCACTACTGATGTAATGGGTGAACATAATAAAACAGGAGGCACAACTTCTGGAACAGCCCTCATACTCCTGTTTGCCAAATTCTCTGCTACTCCTTTCCACTCTAAGCAAGCTCGTGTCTCCCATCATTTTTCACTAGAAATCGAAACTCCCAAATCAAACAGAATGACAGTTTTTGTTTTTGTTTTTTTTTCTTTTTTCTTTTTTTTTTTTTTTCTTTTTTTGAGTATTAAAGACATCAAATTGTGACTGTAAATGCCATCTTTCATCTCATCTGTTTTTTTTTTGTTTGTTTGTTTGTTTGTTTTTGGTAGAAACAGAAAAAAAAAATCAATGCTGTTATAAAATTTGCTCTGTTTTTGGCAGAAAATTTGAAAAATAGCTGATATGAGCCAACATACTTATCTTGTCCCTCTATTAATTCTTCCTGTTACAGCATAATTAGTAAAGTTCTAAGTTTATTTTCTTTGTGAGGAGGACAAACAGTATGCTTTTTAACTTAAAATACATGTGATATGATTTAACCAAAAAATCCCTACAAAATATTTAAGTAATATTAATTCTTCATAAAATCC